TCCCCAGGCTGTTCCCTCTCTCCCCTAGCAGATAGGTGGAAACCCCAATACTTGCATTGCTGATTGGTGAATCACCTCTCAGTAACTCGTGTACCTTGGTGCAGGGCCCTAACTGTGTCTTTGCACATGCACTGTGTGTGTCCCACATCCCTTCCAATGCCTTTTAGGTCCATTTAAGCCAATCTTTACTTGCTTTCTTCAGACTGGTTATATTCTTCTCTCCCCTAGCAGATAGGTGGAAACCCCAATACTTGCATTGCTGATTGGTGAATCACCTCTCAGTAACTCGTGTACCTTGGTGCAGGGCCCTAACTGTGTCTTTGCACATGCACTGTGTGTGTCCCACATCCCTTCCAATGCCTTTTAGGTCCATTTAAGCCAATCTTTACTTGCTTTCTTCAGACTGGTTATATTCTAACAGTGCTTATTACTAAGCAGTTGGGAAGTCTTGGACCTTTCCTTGTCTAAAAATTCTCCCTGGTGCTTACTGAAGAATTTTTACATTTGTCTTCATTTCTTCTGTTGAGGAATGACTGCATAAATACTTCAAAACACAACCCTGCCTAAACTCAGTGAGGTTTCTATCATGCTCAAAATACTGGATTCTAAAGGCTTTTTAGAAGGGAAGACTCCTGATGGCTCTTGTTCCTGATGGAGACCAGATCATGCTTTCCTGTAATGACCAGCAGTAGCCTAGCTGTGTGACTGATGCTCCTGGAGTTTACCAGGGATATTTGGGTCTCTGTGGGAGCTAAAGCATTAGAGTGAATGGAAACAGTTTGTATTCACAGCAGCCTCTACCTGCAGCCTGTGCTTCAGGCACTGCTGAGGTGACAAACTGACATTCCCTTGGCTCCAGGCAGAGAGGAGACTGAGTGCAGCCCTTGGCCTCTCACTCACAAACCCCACAGCGACACTAGGCTTGACCTGCCACCCTGAGAGCTTTGCTCTCTGCTGTCTTCACCCTTGCTGCTTTGGGGGTGTCAGGTGAACATCCCTCCACCTGCATCTGAACCAACCCTGGTACACGTGTGCTGTCAGAGCAAGCTCAAGCCCAATCTGTGAGCACCTCTTAGGAAACATTCTTCTCTTTCACCCTAAACTAGAAGCAAGAAGGATTTGCAGTAACGTTCATCCTCATTACGTGCGTTCCATATGTAACTAAGCCTTGGAGCTAAGAGTTACATTATCACTCCTGTTAAGGAGGAAAGGACTAAATAGCCAAATGAAGACAGTAAAAACCAAACTGATTTTGCAGGAAGGAGAAAAAAGTCAGAACACACAGAATCATAGAATCAAGTGGGTTGGAAAAGACCTCCAAGATCAGTAAGTCCAACCCTCCTGTGGTTACTAGACCATGGCACTAAGTGCCACATCCAGTCGCATCTTGAAAACCTCCAGGGATGGTGAATCCACCACCTCCCTGGGCAGCCCATTCCAATGTCTAAGCACTCTGCTCTGTAAAAAATCTCTTCCTAATATCCAACCTAACCCTCCCCTGGCAGAGCTTGAGTCTGTGTCCTCTTGTCCTCCTGCTGGTTGCCTGGGAGAACCAAACTTAGAACCAAGACAGCTCAAGTGAAACAAGATCAGCAGCAGAGTGCCAAACTGATTTTATATGTTGTGTCCCACTCTGAGGGATAGAAAATATAAACCTTAGCCAACAAAAGACGTAGCACAATAAAAAGATACAAACAAGTCCAAGCATGCAAAAGAATCATTCTGTAATCCTTACTGGAAATTCAAGATGTTCAGATCAAGTAACAACATGGTACATGTTTATTTTTTTGTAAGTTAAGAAGGTTTAAAAATATATTTCCTGCCATAATGAAGCATTTTTGGGAAGCAGTGTACAAATAAGGCAGAAGTGTCAAAACAAATGATGACTAAACTAGTTTAGCACTAAGTCTAGCCTAGGAAAACAAGTCATATATTAAACTGGAAATGTATTTTATTTCTCAAGGTGGTAAGTTCCCCCTTTAAGACCCTCATGTTGCTTAAACAAAGTTTAACACATTGTCAGTATCAACCTGCCTGTCATTTCAGTCGACTGAATTTTGACCAAGTGATTGACACAAATGTTACAGGGATGAACACCTCCATCAAATTATTCTAGTAATTGCACCGAAGTTTTGATGGATCTGATGTTATTCTAAATTATGCTTTGTGTGTGTCAACTTTTTATAAATGTGAAAGCTACAGTGTGCTTGAAGGCACTTTTTTTTAGGTTGTCAGCTGTAGATCACCAGTGACTTTGTATGCAGGACGGATGAGGTTAATTTAAATCCAGGAGACATCAAAATACAGGATTAAGTCTGCAACATGCTGTTGTCACAGGGTGAGTCTTGTATTCCTCACAGTTCCCATTAAGATGCTTCAATGCAAAACTCACCCTTCACCCATCTTGCCGTTCAACCAATCCTAAATCATAGCAGCAAAAATTTGAGCATTTGTCTTTTAAATAAAAAACCCCAACAGAACATCATATAACTTCACTGTGCTTAAGCTTCACTGAGTTTCTTGCAGCCAGGGAAAGGAAAAGGCTTCACTTAAGTTAGAAGTCAGAGCAGATAGAAAAGAAATCAGGGTAGTTTTGCTTCTCCAGGAGGAAGTTTCTAGATAGAAGAGATATAATCATGATACACAGCTGTGCAGATGTAGCAACACTTAACAGCTGTAATGAGTGAAGAGCAAAGAAACTCACAGCAGATGTCACGAACAGCCATGACTTTGCCCAGTAGAAGCTGTAACACCTGCATGTATTTTCATGTGGAGTGGAAGCCTGAGGAGAAAGTATTGGCCTGATTGTGCCATGGGCTAGTTGGGAAAGCTGCCTTTTCCTGCTCCACCACTCCACAGCTGGGTGCCATGGTGCAATAGCTAAAGGTGAAAGGCAGACTGTAACTGTAGTGTGAAACCTTCTGCAGAAAGATTTAGTAAAAGATTTAGCATCCAGCTATAGAACAGGTGTTTAATTCCTCCTAGCCCCTGTCCTGGGCAAGCAACCTTTTATTTATCTTCTTATCTCCCCTTGTTCCATCCAAACCACATGTTCTGGGGTTAGGTTACACCAGCATGCCCAGCATGGTAGCAGTTAGAGGGTTAGCAGACACTCAACCCAAGCCTGGACACTGCACTGCTGCTCAGCTTATCAGGCTGTGCCCCAGGCAGAAGTCAGTGCTTTGCTGCATTCAGGCATAGCCACACACCTCACAAGACTGTCCAGCAACTTCCGTGGAGAAACAGCTCCACTTCTGTTGCTGCACCCACAATAAAACTACTCCAAGGCTGGATATGCAAGGAAGAGGATTCGACCTGCCTTCTAGGACACGTGAGCTACACAGGATTCAACAGAGGATTTTTTTGTGTTTATTTGTTTCATTTACATCAATATAAATCTCTTTCAGTCAAACAGGAATAGAAAAGTAGTCACCCCTGGCAGTTCACAGTTTACAGTTCAGCAGAATGTATAGATATAAATTATTACTGTAGACTTAGCACAGGTGAAACCTGCAAACAGAGGTACAGACAACAGTCACCGAGCTGTTCTTGTCCTATCAGTGCCATGAGACATATTCCTTGTACGTCACACAGAGTTCCTAAAATGCTTTATTTACATCACTTTTTTTTCTCCCCCACCATAACTGCATTGGCATAACTCCCTTAAATACAGCTTACCTGAGTAAGTCTTCAAATTCCTCAGCAGCTGGGACTGGAAAGGGAAAACAACTCCACCAGGACAAGGAGCAGTGTTAATAGCGGTGGACGCTTCGTAGATCCGAGACTTCTTCCCCTTTGTATTCCATCATGTTCCAGCTCTGGTTAACAGCTTCTACATAAAGTCTGACAGCACATGTGGTATTGTACATGCTTTATTAAAATGGTACTCGTATTTACAATATCTGCAGAAACAATCCCTCCCAAGTCTTGCATTCAGACAGACACACACACAGACACACGCGCGACCCCTTCACTCTACGGGGGTGTGAAGGCTATGCTCCCAAAAGTTAGGCAGCTTCTGGAAGAGGAGGAAGGGTGGCTCTTTTGTGTGTTTGTAATTAATTAAAAAGAAGCATGGGAGTATGCATTTGGCCATCACAATGCTAATTGAAGTATATGTAGTATTAACATATGGCAGTAACACTGAGTATTCCTCTTTTACATTCTATACACAGAATGACATCAAGGTTTTCCAGTCAACAGAACATTCCAACTTCAGTCTCAATGCTGCTTGTAGTGACTATGAAACCACAATTTGGGGGCTGTCCCTTAAAACAATTCAAGTCTATGTAAGCGAAATAAGGCACAATTAATCTTGGATTTGATTTAGAGGATGGGGAAGGGAGGGGGAGGCAGGCTTCAGATACTAGTTGTTGCACAGGATATGGTTTTACCCAATCCTTTTGAGAAAAGGATGAGTTTTATCCCCATCCTAATCTACATGGACTTCTCTTAGAGAACTGAAGTTTTCTGCCAGGGCTACTATTGCCCACATACAAAACAAAATTGGAAATTCACATTTCAACACCAGCTTCAGTAGTCTAAACCTACTGATGCTGATGTGCACGAGTACATCTTTCTTTAATGCTGAAGGAGAAGACACACATGAAACAAAATTCAAACCTTCCTCTGAGCTTGAAGACTCATGTCTTTTAGAGAGCTTGTAAGATACACTAGTTGAAGGCTTCAGCTTACTGATAAAAAGGAATAGCATTGTTGCCTTTATCCCTGGCCCCTCTTCACTAACGAAGCCTAACCAGACATTACAAATAAACTGCAACAAAAAATTTGGCAGCACAAATAATGTCTAGTTTTCAAATCTTCATTTGTGAGTATATTATTTTCCTTGTACAAAACCTGTTGAATGTTTTTTCGCAGCAGATGAACTGTACCCAAAGATGCAGGACATTCTGTGATGGGGAATAAGAGGTTGCAGTTCCGAAGGCCCCTGACTTTGGTTGTTTACAAAGTTCATTCCTGTTTAGTGTGATCCTTGGTATCTTCCTCATCTGTGTATTCTGATGGTTCTTCCCCTGGTTTTAGGAGTCTACCTACGTAGTCATATTTTTCTGAAAGAGATTTATGATTGCATTACAATCAAATACAGCTGCATTTGCTTAGCCTGTGCTACTGCAAATTCACTTTTTCTCTTACAAACAGAGGTTCTAAACCTGACTCGCTGAAATTGATGGTAATTTAGCAGCAAGCTCAGCCTCCTAAAGCAATCTTCCTACCATTGCTGCTTGCTCTTGTCTCTAACTCTGAGTGCTTTGTTGCAATTCTCCGACAGCTGATCAGGCAAGTTTTATCACACAAGGGCTGAAATTGCTGCTCTTCAAACTAGCATCAATTCCCTCAGCCTGTTTTGATTTCAACTGGGGTGAAAAATGACTCCCCCTCCCTCCACATTTGTCAGGAGATATTTCAAAACAAACTTCTTCAACCCTTCATGCTCCAACAACCCTTAGTCCTAATCATAATTCCATGACATCCAAAGCCAACAACCTGTGAACAGGAATTCCATCAGCTAAGCTATGCTGGGAGTTAAATTCTGTGCTGAAGAGCTAAGGGAACAGTTCTCTTGCATAAAACTAAAAGGTTGAAAAAGCTGTAGTAAGATATAGTGTAATCCTCTCTGTGGAAAGAAGGCCTGAAATCCCAAGTCTTTGCTTTACAAAGTTATATTCCATTAATAATATTACCATCAACATCTCTTCAAAAGCTTCCCCAAGCCCAAATCAATCATTTGTATCAAAAACATTTCCTTAAGCTAAAGATGTGCTGCTAATTTGAGAATTTACCTTTAAATTGCATTTCCCACTCTCTTACACTTTCCATCTGTACAGCATTTAAGTCCGATAGGTCATCATATTCATCTCTGAGTGCATCTTTATCTAGACAGAAAGTTGCTAGTCCCCTGGAGGCATCTCTGCCAGCAAATATTCCATATGGACCCTCTGAAAACAAAAAGACAAAATTGATACCTTCAAGTCTTTGTTTGTGGTGAGCAAATCTCAGTTGTTTACACAGTCTGCCAAAGCCATACATCAAACTCGTGCAGTGATGGGAGCAGCAGCGGCTTCAGCCGCAGCTCTGACACTGAACAGCACTGCATTCAATCTCTGATAGCACTGCCAGATAACGTCTGCTGAGAGAAGCAGAACCAGGAAAATAGCTTTGAAGGGATATCTGGAAAAATCCCTGTCAGTTGATGCAAGTCAGTTGATGCAAATTCCAAAGGGACCAGGGGCTGGAATTCAAAAGAAATGCACTTCTATGAAGCAGAACATAGGATATTTACAAGTCAGGCATGAACAGAAGCAAATGGCCTAGACACCTCAATTAGAAATCCATTACTATCAATAAACAGAACTTGAGTTCTAATTAATAATTTCACTTCACTTATAAACCACCACAACTTTCTAGAACGTCGGTGACATTCTTACTTGGGTGGTAACACCTCATTTATTCCAGGCAGCAGATCACCCACACCCCTGTCCTTCCCTGCTCCCGAGAATGGCACAAACCTTCACCTTAACAATGTAGAAAGCAACTGCTTCCTTTGTGCTTTCTGACTGCAGCAAAGCAGCACAAACATGCTAACAACATGTCGAGCAAAGACTGCGAAATAAACATCACAAAGAGAACTGGATGATTTGCAAACCAGCAACTTGCAGGATAGGGTTGGTAACTGGCTTTCACAAATTTTAACTCATCATGCGTATTGTTAGCTTACATTTTCTTGACCTAAACCCAATTACCTTAATTCAGATCAATTTTAAAAAACCACTTTAAAACTTATTTTCTGCACTAAGTGCAACAGCTGAGCAGCAGGGAGATGCCCATAGCCTGCTACAGAGCGATGGCTATTGAAGACAAACAGGCCAGACCCTGTCTCTGGCTTACCTCTCGACAGTGGCCGTCAGCCTGAAGAAAAGGCAGCACCCATGGGCAAGAATGAACACAACCAAGTGGCAACACACTGTCCTTCACCCCCTCTATTGCCTGCTGGAGCACCTCAGACCTCTTCTGCACCAGGACGAGCCACGGGCAATCATTCCGAGAGGCTGGTTTCCTCCCCGGCCGCTTGCTCCAAACACCACACCTATCTGCTCTTGCTGGGCATTGACTGCAGAGTTGAGACAGAGGCTGAATGCAGCAGGGAGAATTCCTGAGGCAGGGAACCCGAGTACCATATGGGTTAGAACAAACTACGTCCTCACCAGAACCGGTGTCATCTCTCCACCCCAGAGTGCTTGGCATTGTAAGCTGCTTAAAGTCAAACCTGAGAACAGGAGGGTGTCTTGTGTGCCAGACAATTCCCTTGTCCCTCTGGAAATAAACCAGCTGATTTAAAAGCAAAATTCCACAAGAAGTAGACAGCAGAGAACAAACTACCAATAGGAAGTTCACACTGTACCAATCTGGCCGTAAGAGACAAGGGTAATGATTAACAGCATCTCTGTGCTTGTCCTCTGGGATATTTAGATCCAGGAACAGCATTCACAGCAAGTACCTCGGGGACCAGGGACTAGAAACAAAGTCAAGAGGGCTAGTGAACTCTCTCTTTCCTATTTGCATCCTGAATTAGACGGTTATCTGATAAACAGGATTCAGAGACTGGAATCAATCCTACAGCAACGCTCAGTCCCGTCCCACTGAACAGGCTGAGAGGCAGGGATACCCATCATTTGCAACACAAGGTAGAGTTTCCTCAAACAAAAAGTCCTGCTCCAAAATAGCAATCAGCCAAGTGATCCAGTTTTTGACATTCTGAATGAAGAACAGAGGAGCTACAAACAGCTCTTACAAGCACCACAATCAGCAAACCCTTATGAGCAATCAGAAATCACTAAACATCCTCACCGACAGTATTTTGTCTCCAGTTTTTCCTTTCTCTGAAATGTTTCAAACAAGTATTTCCACAAACCCTACTAGCTATTTGCATGATGTGTTTTCCAAATTCTGGCTAACCAGAGAGTAGCACACTGCTCCCCTTCCCTCCTGCTCTGCATTGACTGGGTTATGGAGATTACAGCACCTGCTGAGACCTCTTGGTCCACTAGCTTGATTACATATTTTCCTACTAAAAGGAGAATTACATTGTATTTATTAGTATCAAGCCCTGAACACCCTTATATCTCAATAATATACTTAATTGAAAGCATGGAAACTTTTAGAATGTATCAGCTTGCATTAAGATTGATGGATGCAAAACTTCCGCAAATATCTTGTAATCTCAGATGCTATTACATCAAAGTGGTTTTTTTTGTTACCTACAATTGAACTTCAATGTTAACATTCCAGAATATTTCCTACAGGAGTATTCAGGAGTCACAGAGAAAGCATCAAGCCAGGTCCAGGCACTCAGTGGAATGCTAACTTGTAAAACCCAACCTTTGGACTTGGTAGACAGCATCTCAAATTCCAGCTCTGCAAATGTAACTCACAAATGTGTCCCACTCTTTAATCCTTTACTAAAAGGTAAATATTGAGTTATGATTATTAAAAAATGGTGCAAGTCTGGCTTCACCTTAGTGGCAGAGTTGCTAAAGCACAAGTTCAGAGATCTCAGTATGAGCAATCTACTTCAAGATTTTAAGCTTCCATTCAGGTATTTCTACACAGAGTTTAAGTATATTATAGATATGCATTAATAGAGAATATACAGGTCTGAGAGTCTGCCTTTGTCTATTATTCACTTTTCTATGAGAAGGTGTTTTGCATATCAGATTTCATCGTACTTGGAGAAGCATCCAGGAAGGTGCCAGCACAGAGAACCCCAGGGAGAACAGGAACAGGATTCTGGGGCAGACATTAGTGCAATCCTAGACACACTTGCACGGAATTCTTTCATGACCTGATGCAATTTACTCTGCAGGCCCTACCCACAGTTCTTTCCTTTCCTTTTGTCTGCCCACCTATTCACACTGGCTCCTGTTGTCAATAATTGATTGCAGCACGACATGACAGACACACTGAGGAGAGGGCGAAAAGAGAGGCTCAGAGCATATATATATACACACACACACACCCCAACACTATTTTTCCAGACCCTATCATAAATTTTGGTGGTTTTCTTTTGCTGTGTCCCCAAATAAGCTATTTCATAGTCAAATATCTCTTAAAAAATTCTCTTCCCACTCCTATTCGGCATCTCCCAACAACAAAAGTCAGGGAAGTGTCAAAACCAATTCAAACACGTCTGCTACATGTTACTTGGCTACACACAGCTACGAGCGAGCCTTACATGAAGGAAAACTTTGTTCCTTAAGAATGCTTTTCTTCCCATCATTGCTTTCACATATTAAAGCACTCTGCTTCAGAGCCTTTGTTTGCTTTAGTGCCGAGACCAGCTACCAAGACCACATATTTGCCTATGTATCCCCACATCTACACCACCACATTCATACACTGCATTTTTCCCTGTATAAAGTCCTCATCTCCCTCACAACTCCACCTTGGATAAAGTATACCCTTCTCTGAGCTACAACACATGCAAAATGTTGCTACCCCCCACCTGCAGATCTTCACTGGCAGCCTTGATGGATTTTCCAGCCTGACATTCACCTTTATTCACCATGACCTGAGTAGCTTGAGAATTCCCCAAATCGAAGTCCCTTCAGCCATTAAAATATCTTTCCCATTTCTACACCCAGGATTTCTGCATCTCCTAGCTCTGTTTTGGCTCTGAAATGAGGACTTTAATTTCTCTTTGGAGACACCCTAAAAGAAGAGCAGGCAAGGAAAAATGTTTTAAACTTAAAGCACTGTATCAAATACATTGAAGCGTCAAGTTTTTATTTGGAAGCTCTACTTCTAGTCACTTCCTCCAAAACAGGCTAAACTGGATCTTGGAACAACACACGTTTCAATTTTCAGCCAGTTTAGCCAATATCTCCCCCAGCCAAAGCTATGCTGCTAGTCAACTTTGGAGTAGACATTCCTGGTTGCCAAAGAGGCTACCTGACCATCTCAGTTCTGTGGCAGCTTTGCAGAACATCCCAGGCTATTGCTCCAGGACTAGTAAAGAAGGTGAATGTTGTACACTGAACTTTGGATTGCTCCAACAGGCAGCACAGGGATCACACCACAGATAGCCACATGTGGACTTTATATCTAATGCAGTGATACGTAATCTAAGAATTGTACTCGTTTCTCCGGGGAAGTCACACAGGTTAACAAGGTTCAGTTTTAAACCAGAAGCTTTGGTTTTTTTCAGTCAAAAAGCACTTCCAAGCAATCACCAAATATGCAAAGTGTGCCAGATGTTCTTTGCATCTGTGAGCTTCATGCAGCCACTGGGAATAAACCCCAGTTTTGTCTGATGCTTAGAAACTCATGGATGACATTTGTTAATCTGCAGACAAGAATAAAGACTAATCTCTCCTTTAATGTTAAAGGAATGAAGAGAGACAGGCCACAAAATTATTAACAGCTGCATTATTCTCCTACTTTGCCTACTTTTCCCACTCCAAATCAGAGTGAAAACTCCATTGTTCAGAATTTCCTATCTGGATTCTGACATGTGTTTGTTCGGTGTTGCATCTTTCATGAGGGAACGAGAAAGCTACAAATGAGACAAAAGCATTTTGATATGCAGCTTGAAAGCAGAAGCTTTCTAATAATATTTATCACTGGGAACTCAAGGTGACATAGTTTTAACTTTACTGCTCCAGATTTCCATGAAAGGAAAGATGTGGGTCAATTTTAAGTTACAACTTGCCTGTAAAATATGTGTTCTTAGGAGATCAGTCCACAAAGTCTACATGCTACGATGGGAACTGCTTGGAGAGAGGGGTCTAAACCTGACTCCTCAGGCACAAGGCCAGAGGGCCTCACTCTCTCCCTTTCACTTGCTTCCTTTTTAACTGTGAAAAAGAAGTGCAAGAATCAATGACCCAATTTCAACTAAAGGGGCAGACAAGCAGTACTGCCAAGAGAGCCTGTAGTTCAGCAGTCAGGAGATTCCTGGAAGATAGTTCCATTCTTGAGAGGGACCTAGATTCCTCGTTTTGCTTTAGTGAGAAATGCTCTGGCCACTCATTTATTTCACAGTAAGGCCAGCAATGCTGGCCAGGTGTTTTGATTAAATGAGCATGACACTGCTGTGTACTGGACTTGACATCTACATGTCACTAACATGATGTCACTATCACATCCTAATCTATTAGATCTGTTTAGATCTTGCTTTGAGCATACCTGCTGGATCAGGCCACTCAAACCTCAGGTGATGGGAACATGGCTGGTTTAAATAGGAACTAGGGTCTTACACAGACCTGTTATCAAACACAGAGCTGTATTCGGGTTATGATGAAAGGAAAAAGAAACTTAAAGCAGACAAAGAGAGAGCTGACAGACACACAAAGCAGAAGAGCAGACAATGCTGATCTTCCTGCACAAAACCACTTTACTGGCTCCCACTCCCTGTGATCAGGGCCCGAGGGCTCGGAACAACCCCTCCATGCTGGCGGCAAAGGCACTACTCCCTTGAACTGGAAGTATGAGAACAATCTCTCACCAATATGCACATAGACACCTTGTAGTTTTCCTACTTCTGGTAGGAACTTCTCTTCATCCAGAAGAAGCATTACACAGACACCAAGGAGCTGACAAACGTCACCAACACAGAGAAGACACACAGAAACAACTTCTTCCCCTCAGTCTTATCCTCTGCACTTATTTGTACCCCCTCAGCCTGTTGTGTTCTTAAGATAAGGCCACCCTTAACAGAATTCTCCAGACACAATGCGTATGATGTCCCTCCTGCAAGACCTTAAAGGTATGGTACAGGATGTATGGAAAAGCTCCACTGCTGTGTGTTCCACAGAGATACAATGAAGTTTACAGCACTCAATGCCAAAGGAAACCTAACAGCATCAGACCATTTTAATACAAATTACTGGAAAAAGTGCCAGCTGGTTACTACTTTCAAGTATTCAACATCAGAAATCATAGTTCTTAACTGGATATGCAACATGAAGTAAAGGCAGTTTTCCCTTCCTATGATGGATTTATTTTGTGGAAGGAACTACTACTACCTAATCTCTTGGCAAACTTGGAAAAGCAGAACCCTTCCTGACACCCTGAAAGACAAGAGTGGGATGAGCCGTGAGTTGACAGTGACAATGTGCTGCAGCAAAGTCAGGAAATTGATTTTTTTGAAAAATCATAAAACATTAAGAACCAAGAAGTGACGTGTACAGTTGCACACACAGGACTGCACATCATCTTGCTTTGTCATGCTCAAAGCTGTGTGTTTTTCACAACTGCATCACGTATTTGCCATGTTAATCAAGACCTGTTTACAGCATCATCTTGACATGACAATTTAAATGCTAAATAAGAGTGGTTGATGTTACTTTAACTCTTACCATGCCCTTCTATCGACCAATATACAACCAGAAATCTTGACAAAAACAAACATGAAATTAAATGTTGCAATAAATCAAACAGTAAAAACTGTCTCTAGTTATAAGGACAAGAAACCAACTCGGCACATACTAGAGGTACTAACCATTAGAACCTAAGTCATGAGATGTGATTCCAGAAGGGGAAATCATCCCAAAACAGTTTCTCTGAAAGTCTGGTCACATGTTATTTTTAATAGTGAACCACTAATTGTTTACTTTATTTCTTTTAGAGTTTGTGGGCAATAAAGGAAAAGGTAATTAATTAAAATTAGTAACCAATCAACGCATTCTAGGACACTTACTCATGTGGGCATGAGCAGAGATGGTATTTAATACACCCAGGTGTTGAAACAAAGGGTGTACTTGCAGGACAGAGCAGCATTTTGGAAGAGAACTTGACAAATAAGGTTTAAAATTAAGAGTTCAGTGTAAGCAAAGTGGACTTTGGAGGCACAGACAGTTAAATGTGCCATGGAACCTCTTCTTGCCCTTAGTTAAAATGCATTAGACATACCAAAGACTAAGAGGATATCAGTGAGATAAACTGTGGAAGGCTTAAAGAAGACAACATGAGTTAAAAAACCCCTCCAAAAATTGGAAAACATTTGGATTAAGTGTTCAAGAAACTGAAGTTTTCAGTCCTGGCTGTTTGAAAGGATGAATTCAACTGTCTATCAGTTTTTAGTTTTAACTCTCTGTATGTGAAGGGCTCTGCAATGAAACACACCAAACTATAACAGGATTTAGCAGATGGAGACTTCAGATAAAATCAGCAGTTTGGTGGGAATTTCAACGGAATGCCAAGTGTTGGACAAAAACCTTGCCTAGATGACAATTCTGTGCATTTTAGACTTCTGCTATAGTAGAAAATAAGGAATAGCTTTGCATCCAAACCACACTGAAGGAGAAACAGAACTTTGAAGACGTCAGAAGCCACCTGAGACAGCCACGTTACTCAACATTAATCCAGCACTTAAGACAGACTTAAGATTTGATGGTGAGAGCTTTCTGCTGCCTGCAAAGCTGAAGCACTCTTTC